AGGTCGATGGAGAGAAAATTAATACTTGGGCTCAAGTGCATAAGGTAAAACCAAACGGGAAATGGACTTAGATCTAAATCGTTTCGTTAGGTCGGCTGATCACGCCACGGTAGAATACAAACACCTAGACACCTTGAGCTTGTATTCGATTTTTCCTATTCTCTCCTGGGCCATCTGGCAGCCATGGATCCATCCATATCTGCCCCGACACAACCTGCTAAAAGATGTGGATCACGAACTACTAGGTTTTCCTTAAACAGAGTGGCAGGCATCGCTGTTGACCACCACATGCACGAAGCGGACAGGGCGTGATGGGACAGACGCTCAGATGTCATATGTAAGGCATGATCGAGCCATCCTAACTGGCGCAGTAAAACCAGTTTGTTAACACTAGAAAGACCGCTCCGCCGTTATACCTAGAACGCCCGGGACCGGTCAAAATGACCGCACTGCTATATTTTTTTATCCCAACTTTCAGTTGACTTTTTTCAAGGCATTTATTAAAAACTAATGTATGGAACATACCTGTAACAGAAAAATGATTGTATTAAGTTTTAGTTTTTTTTCAAAAATTGTAAACAATTCCGTATACCTACCACAATTTGCACTTGAAGCAAGTGATAACTCGCTCAATCTGTCCACATGAGCCGCAAAATATTTTTTCACAATTAGAGCACTAGTTTTGTGATTTGTTACCTTTACAGTAACCAATCTGACACTGCCGACGTTTAATGTTCACACGACTTCCCGACTCTGCTGAGTTGTTCGTCGTAATTCCCGTTGTCACGTACCTTGTGTGATGTATACATGTAAGCAGTTCTTCAGAAAGACCCACCAGATACGACCGGCGAGATATTTTAGTTCCGCAAACACTGTTATAAATTATCCAGGAATTTATGCCAGCCAAATCCAGTACGTTGAAAAAGACTTGGACTGGCCATCGTCGAGATGATGACTTCACAGTGAGTGCTCTTGTCATTTGGTCGAGTACATCCACACCACACTTTGTGGAGTTGTAAAACAACACAGTCTCGGGTTTCTTCTTTCCACAGTCTTGAACGGAAGAGTTACTATGCAGGGAAATGAAAACCAAAACCCTCTTATTCCTTCTACACTGGTAGGATGTTAATGTGTGCTTATTTTCATTCCTTATCATAAGTGAACTGAACAGCTCTCTATTTCTTTGCTTCAAAATCGATAGTACTTCCTTTCTATTAGCTCGAAATGTTCCCACCATACTTGTGTTTTTCTTGGCCAGCATTTCTCCTAATGCTGCCGATGTAAAGAAGTTGTCACATGTGACATTGTACCCATTTCCAAATAATGGTGACACCAAGCGCAATACCACGCTCTCTGCAAGACTTTCTCCTCTTGACCGAGTTTCGTCCTTCCCGAGATATGGAAATCCATTAACGAGATACTTGCTGTATACTTCTGCCAGCATCCAAAACTTGATACCGAACTTATCTGGTTTGTTGGGCATGTACTGGAGAAAACGACAACGGGTTTTGGAGGGAAGCAATTGCTCATCAACTGTGAGATTCCGCGCAGGCACATAGCATTGTTGAGAGTTGCGGATGAATGCATTCCACAATTCAGATACCAAAGCAAACTTATCAGTTAGCAGTCTTTCACATCGGGTAGTTCGCATGTCAAAACGGAGGAACCTCATTATTTCTTTGAAGCTGTTCTTGCCAGTTGTCTTCCAGAAAATAGCCAGTCCATATCTATCGCACCACATCATATTCAACGGCATGTTCTTCAGACCCATGAAGCCTCTGATGTAAAGTAGACCAATAAAGGCACGCAGCTCTGGAAGACTTACGCTCCACTGACAACTGACACCTAAAACTCTCTTGGCCTCAGCTTCAGTACATACCTGAATATGTTTCAGCATCTGGGGCGTGATTATGATGTCAAAAGTGCTCGACAGCTCACCATATTTCACACATTTCTTAACATAGGGAGTTTGTCCTGGTCTAGCCTTAAACACATTTTGTGATGGAATCCTACCAACAGTAGATGTTTCGAACTCCACTGCTATCCACCTGCTACTATCTTTCGATACGTGAAGCTCACCGGGAGATACCGAAGCGGTTGATACACTCTCTCTAGGGTCCTCATATAGAGTGTAATCATCAGACGTTTGACTATCAGACATGCTGTGATCTTCTGCTGACTCATGGAAGATGGAGTCCTCATCAACATCATAATCGTTCTCGTCTCCAGACTCGTTGTCATCGATGGTTGTAAGTTCTCGTAAAACCTCAAAGGCTGTTTTCCTCAGAAGTGCCATTGTGTACAAAAATGTCACTGGAATTTATCTGACTGAACGCACAATATCACAGTAAAATCGTGATTCGGCTAGTTTTCATTCCCGTTTTGACTGCTATAGTATATAACTGTCAGAAATGATAGTGGTGGCTAAAAATAAAATGAGGAACCGGATTAGAGAGAAGCGGTCATTTTGACCGCTAACGGGCTTTCTAGGTAGTATGAACACAGCTACCTCTTTTCTCGAAAACTATAACAGATATGAAAACGAAAATTCACAGTAATGAAGAACGTCCAAAAATATTAAATGTCACGAAATATCTTTGAAAAATGTCCATAAATGTAGAAAATATGCACATTTAAAAACGCTGAGCGGTCAAAATGACCGCTCCGGGCGTTTTAGTGTTAAAAGGAATACTCACATTCCCTAAGACACGACGTCTGACTATATCGTTGCAGACATGTTGCTTCAACCATACGAGCGATCCTCATCAATACTAATTATTCGTGTTATCCACACGAATTGCCAACGACTCGTTTCCATATAGCACACCGCTTGAACGTAGGCATTGTAAATTTGGTCCTGTATGGAGTGGGAGATATCCCGAGAACACCACCCGTGTACCAAGTTGACAAACGCTGACTGTTTTGGCGATGCAAAAAGAAACTTCCTATCCATTGGTACCACCAGCAGCTGCCAAGGTATAGAAAACTATCCACGAGTTCAAGCTGTGTATCTTCAAGGCTGAGCAAGGAAACGGATGCGTGCCGATTGCTTCGTGTTCGATCGGCGTTTTATGACACGATGGTGACTGGCTGAATAAGATGACAATCAGACCACAAAACGTTCTCTCGTTTTTCCGCAATATTTGCGATCAGCGTAGTGGTTGAATAGCTCAAACCACTATAGTAGTTCTGTGTCGCATCTGCATTTCATCTATCCCGTACTTGGAAAAACTGAAATCCAGAACCAGGGAGTTGAAGATTCATCACAACACTGTTATCTTGTATGCGTGTTTCGGGGACACAGCGCACATCAATAACAAAAGAAAGATAGTGCTGCTTGCTGACCGATCTGACCTAGAATGCGGACGTTAAAACAACCAATGTGAAATGAAACTCTGGGTTTGATAGAAAAGCTGTATGTATGCATGACAGCAGCTGCGGGGTTGAGGACAGTCTCTTGCTGAATAGACAAGGAGTTGAGAAGAGAGAAAAACAAGAAGAGGGGTATTGTCAAGGGGGTCAAGAGGACATATGATACTCTCCGGCTGCTCATTCCGAGAAATGGGTTTTGTTCGATGTGCCCTACCTTTAGCCTTTGCCTCATTAGTCTGACCTACAAGGCAGTGGGATACATATGGGTTAGTTTTAGGGACTCCACCCAGAGCTCTTAAATCAATAGCCTGACCAATTAGGCATCGGGGAGCAAGTGCATCTCGTGAGTGTGATTGCAGAGACCCATTTGGATTTGCTTGAGGTCTACCGCACATAGCCCTTCAAGATCTAGAACAATCCACGTGTTTTGTGACCGTATTGTGTTACACACATGTGCCTAATGCTGAGATAAATGTTGCATACTTCAGGCTCCTTCACCGCAGTTAGGCTATACCGACTTACGCCTAAACTATATTTTCTTGATATGAATAATAAGTATCCCACTTTATTTGATTTACTCGGTTCTCTTATTCTGTCGCATGTTCAGTGGGAATTTTGTATGCTTATTTTCCTACAAATTATATGTTAGTTGTTTGATGCCCCTAGTGTGGTTGCAGTTGATGTGAATGCTGACAAAGCGCCTATCTGTCTAATACCCTTCACCTCGATTACTGGCTCTAAGGGACTGGATCTTTGTTGGGAAACGGGGTGCACCATCCTCGTGTCAGTGCTAGGCTCAAAGAGTGGTTCCATGCATCCAGTGTGGGATCGGACTTCTGCCCAGCCACCACCTTGTGTACGTCTGATACGCATGATTCGCCACTTATATAGACAAGAATCCTGCTGTTGTGCATGTTGAAGGCTTCGTTGATGAAACGTGGCTCTCATCTACATGCCTCCCAGCCTTATTCCTTCGGGTTTACGTTGGATATTGGGTGTGTGGATGGAGCAGTGCTAGCCACTCATGGTCCTTTATAGACGCAGGCATCCTGTGGCTGTCCTATGGAAGCAGCAGTGACACACCAATCCGGGACCGGATGCCGACAATCATGTTACACACGTGCGGCCACGGCTAGCCGCAGGTGAGAGTTGGTGGGTTTGCACAAATTTTACCAGGGGGTGCCTGGCTTGAGTCGGACGGTAGCAAACCATTGAGCACCCGAAGGTGACCTCCAACTGTCAGAGACAATGCGTGGCGCTCGTCTCCACGCCAATCAAGCAGTGACCTTATAACCGGTAAACCTGTTGTTTCCCATGGGTAGGTTTTAGTGGAAGTAAGCCATCGACCTTTCTCTAATCTTCAAAGAGGGTTGAATTGCGAGACCGTGTTAGTCTGACTCCTAACCATTGACTTGTCTGGTATGAGTGGTTCTGAAGGCATTTTGGAAGTGGCACCCAGCGTAGCTCAATGGGTCACGAGAGAACGCAAATTATCGCACCACATTAAGGCCCATTCTGGTTACAGTGGTCAGATACCACAAAAACTCACAAAATGCAGTTGAAAAAGAGAAGTAGCTTCACCACGGTATTTTTGCAATCGTAATTACTTTACTTCCACTCTGTTTCAGACGGCAGATGTTGTGATAGAGAAGTATATTCCCAAAACAGCGAAATGTCGCATCTTCGGGAACGCTCCTTCTGCCGTTCATGTGTACAAATATCGCGACAAGAACAGTGGTGAAAAAATGGGCGCCCAGGTAAGAAGTGTTACTTTTTTGGCCGAAGGCATTACATTCAAAGTATCCAAAAATAACTCGCCCACAGCAGCGGAAGTTATTCTATTGTGACACTAGTATGTGAATTGCTATTAGATCGTTTGACTACTCATTGAATACCAGTGTTCACTGTGCCGTGGGTCTTGTTTTTATCAACCTGCACAAATCGATTATGGGACCCAATTGTTCATCAAGGATCACTGTCACACCAAGTGGTAGGAGGTATGCGAAATCTGAAAATGATAACCCCCACCGATCTAAACAGGGGTATGAATGATTGCATTTTGCAGATTTCCTGATCTCTTCGAAACTACTGTTTTTGTCGACGAGCTTCGACTTGTGTCGTTTCACCTTTAATACGTCTTCATCATGATCTGCACACTTTGTTCTCATTCTAGTGTTAGTTTCCCACATATCGCTGCGATCTCCCCTTTCAGATGTATTTCTTCAATGTTTACGCCGATCGCTTGTGGCATGGTGACAAAATGATCTCACTTCCTGGAGTTACAGATTTTGTTTGGATAACTCGACAGCAGCTGGACAGTTTCATTACAGACCGAAAATTTCTGCGGGTGTTGAAGTCTTTCATTACTGAATACTAACTTTGCTCATCCAGCCTTGTAGATACATTTTTAACACGGAAATTGTGACTGGTTTTGAGGCAAAAGTACAAAAGTACGAATTCCTTCGTTCACATTGGATGTTAGCCTTCCGCAAACTCAACTGTTTCAGCTGACAGCATGTCACAAGTTTTGTGATAAATTTACTTTACGCTTAGTCTGAAGAGACTGGAATATGGCCAATCTCGGAGTGTACCGCTTATCCGCTTGTGGATGACCATAGGTTCTGCATTTTACCCATTCCACCTGAGACAGTGCCCTGAATTTCATAACTAAGGGTACAAGAATGAAGCAATTGCAAATTTTCGTCTATTGTAACGTGGAAATCTCGAAAAATGCACTGGATGCTGCTGTGCTTCATTTCACAGTTATTTTGAAGGGGATATGAATGTTCAATTGGCGCTGATGTGCGTTCGAAGCAGACTCGTTTAGATGGTCGCGAAAGCTCTTGGTAGGCATCTCTCAATGACAGGCATAGAAACTCAAATTTTCTCCCCGGCTCGCAGTTTAGCAGAACGGCTTCTTGGATTTTCCGCTATTTCGCGTGGTGTCGGTAGTAGTGGGCCGATTGTCTGAAGTACAAAAAAGGGATGCGGTATGAAACACCGGGATCACTGATGTTGTGCCACAGTGACACACTTGGACATCATGTCAGTTTAACAAACAACTAAATCAGAGCGACGAGGGAATAAACAGTGTATTGTGGTGCTGGAAACGATTGACTTGTTTGTGACGTTTTGCTGCTGCAGGCGTCTGATTTATTTGTCAGCGATCGACTTACGCTCTTCATTCAAAACACAATGCGTCTCTTCGCGCAGCATGAGGAATCCCGTGGATTACGCGTTTCAGCTGCAGTAGGAGGTAAAACGTCGAGTCGAACAAACATTGAGCTGTGAGAATAGCTTTAGCGCAGAGCAGAAGTTTGGCTGACCTTTGGTCCGCAGCACCACCGACAGGTAGCGAAATGGTTCAGGTTTCCAGATTGTAGTCCACAGATCACCTTAGAAGCTCTAGCTCGTACGCGAGCTCTGGTGATCGCGTGGCAAATTAGTATTGAGATGGGGTTCGGGTTTACTATTGACACCTTGCATACTTTGGAGAAATGATTACCTGAACACAAATGCAATTCGAAGTTGGCGCAGTGCACAGTTTCTATGGAAGATACCATCGAAATTCACTAACAGAGCATTAGTTCCCCTTAGATGGCCGAGAGACTAAACTGTGCATTCAATTAACTTCAAACTGATTTACATTTCGCAATTTAATGTGAATTCGCGAATCCTTAGGTTTCCCTATTTTAAGGGACGAATGAATTAGCGCGAAGCACTTCCGATGGGTTGCCAAGCGTTAAAAATGAGGCCAAACCAGTCTTATAATACTTACGTGCTTCCAGCGTTGGACACCTTCAGTGGGTCCGGATGCATGCTGTGTCGGATCCAACTCGCGGAGCAGATGCCGTCGTCTCTGTAAAGCGGCCACGTTCGGCACCGATCGATTGGCCAACTGAAATGCCAAACCGACATGTGAGTTGTCCGAACGTTCAGTCAGAGCCCATTTTACCAAGCGGTCCTCCAAGGAGTGAAACGAAATGATAGCCACCCGCCCACCCGGGGCGTCGGAGGAGGGGTGGGATTGTTTGAGTAGCCTATGTGCCATCTCCAATCCGACACACAGTTCATTCAATTCATCGTTCACGAAAATCCGTAACGCCTGAAACACTTGCGTGGCCGGATGTATTTTGTATTTCGTTTGCTTGTACTTTTCAACGAGTGCACTAAAATTTAATGGCGAATGCATATCCGTACAATAGATGGTCTAAAGTGCAACGAGAAGTTTTATGACGTATGGCTCAGAAGTGGTTCTGTGCATCTAGACTTTGGTGGGTAAATACATCGACTCGCAGCCGTTATGCTTAATTTGGCATCAAACCACTACAAAAAGATGTGGAGCAAGCATCTATTATTTGTCCGTGACAACGCTGACATGTTTAGCATAGCACCCGCACAAAGCTGAACCACCATATCCACCGCGCTTGATGTTTGGAAAACAACAGCTGAGAGGAGAACCGCAGAATGTGTGACCCACCTAGTTCGCGTGGGGACCAAAGAGGCAACAACTTCCGCTAATTGTCTAGTACTTTTGATCGGACCAAGTGTCTGTCGATGCTCCAGTATTGCGTTTGCTATGCGACGAGCGAACCGCACATCGCCGTACAACTTGAATATCTGGGCCAGATTGGGGGCGTCCAAATTGTTGATAACGTCGGCAGCTGTTAACGCATTCGAGCTGAAAACCGAAAAAGGATGGCAGAAGCTCGTTACCAAGTGGAGTAATAATAATAATATTAAATCGGCAACTGCACGCCGCTTAGCTGCCACGCGACCACCAGTCGCGCGTGGGCTGAGTATACCGCGAGGACACCCGCCCCTACGCGGATTCGAACCGGTGACCTTATGGTTACAAACCAGACGCGCATACCACTCGGCCACCGGCCGACACCAAGTAGAGTGGAAACCGGCAGACCCGTCGTTATTAGAGTTCATCTGATAGTGATCAAAATGAATTCAATTGGACTGTTCATAGCTATATGAGTTATCTCGCCGGGTAGAAGGTTTAGGCCAGCTTTTTCTTATCATCCACGGATTCACTCCAACCTGACTGGAGATGTTTCATTCGATCGTAGGTCCCGATTAGAATTCACTTGTAAGTAAGGCTAATTCTAGACCAAGTGAATCATCATTCAATTTATGGATCGTATTTCATGAAATTCGATAGGATGATTCCTATATTCTAAATATGTGAGCAGGACTGTGATGCAACGACTTATTCCCTCCCCCTCAAAAGTAAATCCATGATTCACCGTACAAACCCTTATTGAATTACGATATCTAAACCGTTGAGACACACTTGGAAAAGTGTATGCATTGCTGACCGACGTCTATCACTAGTTTCCGGAAGGTAATATGAGATCCCCTTAGATGAGAAAAGATTTGAGCCAATAATGCATAGCAGAAGCAATTCATTTCAGGAACATTCAAGTCTCTCGCGTGCACCAATTTCAGGACGGATCCGGAAATTGAGCATTCTCCGGTTGACCTACAGATAGCTATTGGTTATCACAATACTTGTACTCGTTTCGGTTGGTGCTGCTGCGGAATGGTTTTGGGTAAAGTCGTTGATTTGGGATTGCATTGGGAACTTGCAGAGAATGGGGTCAGTTCTGTAGAAGTCGCAAAGAAAGAGGAAGATTTAGTAAATGGATACATCTCTTTCAAGGAAGAGACAGCACTAGTTATGCATTGACAATGCTCTCTTCTACTGATAGATTTCGTGCATTTCACTAGCGAGGTGGAGTTTTCGGCTCTTGAAGAGTCAAAACACAGCACAATTCAATAGTCAGCTTCTAAGTGAGGAAAGACTGTATGAATTGTAAGGTTAAAGTGGCTAATATCTGTGAGATCTAGATATGGTTCGTCAAAACGTGCTGATAAACAAGCATTCGGGATAAGGAAGATATGTGCCGCGTTAGTGACCCAAAGAGACTTTTGTAGAAGAAAGTCCCAGAAATGCGTCTTGAAACACCATACCTTCGATGGAGGATCGGGTAAAACGCCATCTTAGGGCAGGCACTGCATCAGTTCCGTCGTTGTACGGGTACTGGCACACGGACCTGAGACGGGTTAAAATAGTGTTCCGGTGGAAAAGGACTCAGGAAGCGCCTACTGGCCAAAGCAGAAGCAATTGCGATCAAGCAACTGAAGCCGGAACTATGTAAACAGCATGCACTTGTGCAGTTTAACCCTACCGTGGCCCTAGCCTGGTCAGCTGACTTCTGGTATAGTGGTCAATGGTAGTGAGTCCAAATAAACATAGATTGCCACCGTTCATCCGCAGCATTCACGACTATGTCGCATCGCTAGCAATAGCTACTGCACAAAAGAAGCTCATAATTGTAATTGCCTGAGGAGATCTAACGAAAAGAAATTTCTTCGCAATTTCCTTTTGACATCAGAAAGGGCATAATTTATGAATTTAGACTTGTATCGAAAACATCATCATTCTAATCATAAACTAGAAGTGTAACACCTCAGCTATTGGGTTACAAAATAATTCAACTACACAGTCATGAATGAGGAAAAACAAGTAACATTATGCCCTTTTTTACTACGTATCGAGAAAGAGACCGTGGTTGGATAGGAGGCTAAACGGGCATAAGATATAAGAGCCACTGAGTGAAGTCGGCTTTTGCGGACCATTCGAGTGGCTAATATGTGCAAACACGGTTACTGTGTTCATGTAGTCGCCAATGAAGATGCTTACAACATCTGTCTTCACAGTAAGAGAGCACTCCCTCCTTTGTCTGACACCGTAGAAAGAGAAAAGTGAGTATCGGCACCACTGGGATTCTGCACAGCTACGCAACCGCGAGCAGTTGTGTGCGGGAGGGGATGGATGCTGCAAGGGAGCTCAAACGTAAGAGCAGCGGAGGAGACTGGAACCACGGACACAATGTAAATCAAACGCCTGAGCTGCTAACACCACGGATTCCGCCGCTCGGGGTGAAAGCATGGGATAAGCCGCTTTTACTGGTCGAAGAATAGTATCCACTCAACTGAGAAATCCTGATTAACATAAGGATAACATGTGTAATTGATACTTACTTGAGTCCATCCATACGCATGTCCAAGGCACAATCCGATTTGAACGCGAATCCCCGCGTCCTATCATCCAACTGCATAGAGCTGACGCCCAAGTCCATCACGATCATGTCTATCGAACAAGGCTTTAGCCCATGCTTCTCACAGAGGTGGGGGAGGTCGCTAAACTTGCCCGACATAGTGGTAAACGAATTCCTGCAATTGAGAGTAAAACGGAGCGGAACGAACTCGAGACCCATCTGTGTGAAGAACACCACGCTGGAGGTTATCTGACGCTGTCGTGGAGAAAATTGACGGCGATTGATGGAACGTGCGCTAGATGGCATTGCAAAATAGGAATCGCAAACGCTTTTTGGTGGCCTTAAATGTACGGATCGCCGCTGCTTCGTAACATATGTTGTCACAATTGACAACAGTGCAGTGAACACGAGTTTCGTTTTGTGACTCCGTAGAATCCAACTGTGATGGAGCAGGTATATACAAGCGAGATCTCCGAATCAGCCGATCAGATGTGAACCGAGCTAAGCTCCGCTGACTGTTGTTTAACTAGAACAAAGAGGAGACACTATTTGTTAAACTACTTCGTTAGTAGTGGTACTGGTTGGACAATATGCACGAAAGCGCTATGTGGAACGTGCTCTTATATTTTTCTGGTGCTTGGCTTTCTCCCAACGAACCATTTGTCCCTGAAGGACAGGGTGTTACGCTACAAACCTCGCCCAGAACCGGTTCCGAAGTGTGAAAAAACGCATCCTTTCAGGATTGTGTTAGGAAAAACGATTCTGAGAGTTCGCGCTGTTAGTTTTTCGTGGCGAGGTCACAGTGGGTCATCAGAAAACAGGAATCGCGAAAAATAGTTATTTGAAGCTACCTGTTTGATTGAATGGGATCCCCAAGCAGCGATTTCAAAGGCAAAATGGCATCAGCAGCACACCAGTGCGCAGTATCAACGCTTCACTGCTGCGCAACCACAACCAGTCGCAGGTGGTCTACGGATACTGTGAGGGTTGGCCGATCCCCTAATCAGGCTCGAACCCGCGCCCACGGATTACAAAACAAGTTTGTGATCCTTTTTAGACCACAGGCAGATGGTGATAAGCGGACTGAAGGCAACTAGGCACTTTCATGAAAAACTATTCCCCTAGAGTAATTTTAGAAAGCATCTGCACCGAGCGTTGTTATGAGGAAAAGTGATTCTCAGGGGTGGAATAACTCACTCCGTTTTGCCGTATTCACGCATAAGCCTGTCAGCATGCACCACAAATTCCGGATCGCGATCTAAGCAGAAACACGTAAGGTCGGGGACTTGCTGGAGCAAAGCACGAGTATGCCCACCGGCGCCAAACGTCATGTCCAACAGCACCTAAAACGTGGAATGTGATATGTGATCACAGGAGAACACTGCAGCAGGAGTTGATCGTCCTTTCGACAACAGGTAACTGATAAATTGGCTGGCCGATACTGCTGCACTTCTGAAGCCTTTACATGAACAATGCAGATTATTCATTACGGGAAAACAGACGCGCGATTTACAGCCCACGTTGGGTGATGTGGCGGATTTTCATTAACACCACAATAGTAAACAAATCGCCACCTTAATAATAATCTATATCTTTGGTAAAAGTCATAGTAAGGCCTTCTTAATGTACTCGTTGCCAACAGGGGTCTAATTACCTAGAAGACTAACTGTAAAAGATAATAAAGTGGAAATCCAGGGTGGGCAAATACGATAAAGTTTCCACAAATGATGTGTGACTCTGGGAATAAGTCATGTCGCAGAGTAGCTACTCCCCGAGGTGGTCGACACCGAGGCAACAAATACCTGCTTAATGAAGGTTTTTAGCAAATTTCTTCGTGTCGCTACGCGGCGGACCACTACAAAGATCCACCTGATCAGAACTGGATGGGGCAGGTCAGTGGGCGTTCAAAGAACGTGATTTAGTCAACACAGGTAATCCACGTTCAATAGACGGTTATGTCGAAAGTAAACTAGTGTGGCTTATTTATTGGATTCTGAGATATCTCGAAAGCGCCGGTGTTCAAAATGTGATGGATGTCTACTGTGCGGTGGCAATGTGTGTAATCCGTACGCAGCAACACTGGATGCAGAGTAGAGTCGTACCCTCGGTCTTTGACCGATGGAAAGCACGGTAAGAAGACGAAAGCTGGTAGATACATGCATTTCGTATTACACGACAATGATTGGATACCGGTAAAAATGAATTGTTCTACATGTTACATCCGGCTTTCGATTTCGATCTTGCAAAATTCAAGTACTGACTGCATGAATTAATTTAGTACGAAAGAAGATTTGTGATCATGTAAATGGTGCGATCCACCGTTAAATCGATCAAGGAGAGGACGCATCGATCTAAGCATAGTAATCCGAGGGTGGAGGAAATACGATTAGTGATTCAGATGCGAAAATGGCATAATCAGTACGCCGGTAGGCAGTATCGACGCTTCGCCGAAGCGCAACCACCATTAGTCGCACGTGGGCTAAGGATACTACGCGGGTCGCCCGGTCCGTACGCAGGCTCGAACCCGCTCCATCAGATTATAAGGCAGTCTTGTGATCTTTAAGGCTAGGGGCCGGCAGTGTTTCAGATAATTCACTGTGTTCTATGCTACGACGTTCTACAATGTGAACAAGATATGCCAATATAGGTAGGTAGCCAAAACTGCTCCCTTTTTAACGTGCCATTAGGAATGTCTATGCAAGGACTAATACCATAGCTCGTCATCCTTGACGCTTCCAGTCATGTTAACATGGAGACGACAGTAAGCAAGTTAAGTCTCCAATCTCTTAGCGTCAGGGATTAGACAGACGGAGGTGAAATCACTCCCGTATGTGAGACCAACCGGAGTAACCTGTTCAACTATGCGACGTACACAGCGATTGACGGACCCCATTAGTTCCATTCTCACCCAGGTGCTAGGACCAAGCTTGTAGGAAGAAGGACACAGCTTATGAATCTAAAACCACAGGTGCAGCTCACACAGAGAAAACGAAGCTTTACAAATGCACACACTTCGTACAATACTGCGGTGCCTTAGCCGATGATTCACAATTACTTCGAACTAGTAACAGATGCAATCAAATAATCATACGTCGTGAAAAGAAAACAAGACAAACCATTAAACAGAATAGTCGGCCTTACGCTTAAAATAACCTAAGACTGTATGGTAACTGCATTTGAACACAAGAAATTGGTTTAATCCAAGCCTTTACATGTATCCAGCAAGCCTTCTCACCGCTTATCAAACCGCTGTGATCTGACTGCTCCCAATTTTGCCCGGTCATATCCAATGTACTCCGGCAAGATTATTTAAGTCAACTGGAATAGATAAAAATCAGTGTTCGATGCACTCTCGACTAATGACAAGAACAAATGCATCTTATCATAGAGAATTATTATGATAATTTAGATGGCTGAATTCTTCACATATATATTCAGGCAGGCAACCATCGCACACCCGGAAAGTCACTGCGCGGACTTATCATCTTTCCGCCAGTAGTGTGCGTTTTAGCTGTTCTCTGTGAGGGTGCAATTCGTGACCTCATTCTTATAATTCGGTGGTTAAAACCACTGGGACATGAGGGACGGCAACGAGTAACACGATTGGGTTACTATGTGTGACACAACACATTGAATGTAGGCAGGTTGGATTAGGTCTTTTTGTGTAACATGTTGAAAAGCAGCAACAAGTTGTGCTTTAATCGTCGAATCGAAAGTGGTTCGAGATGAAGTTCATTGCAACGTTCTCGATAACTCACAGCAGAGTGTTTACCAATCGATGTTTAATAAATGACCTCTGCAGGTGCTCCACAGCAATTCTGTCACTCTTTCTCATATTTCCGTATACTATGCTGCAGTATTCGTGGATGGGGCGTGTAGCTTGAAAAGCTCAACTCTATTTATGTGTATTTTGTTTGATTTATTGAACATAGACTTTCTGATATGTGTTACTTGGTATTGGGCCAGTTCGGAAAAATTGAAGGTAGACGAATATCTAATGCCAAGATCTCGCGTGGACAACTGTGTAGGGACGCATTCATTGTTTAGGGTGATAGATCCTTCGGGGATGCAGCAGCTGTAAGACATGATGCTCGATTTCTTGGCCGAGAGGTTCATCACCCATGTGCAGCACCATGACTCAAGGGAATGTAAGTCATCTTGAATGAGCAGTAATGTCCCGTGAAGCTAGTCACGCTGACTTATAGACTAGTTTGATATCGTCAGCAAATAAAATGATGTACCATGTTTTACAGATGTGGTGATTGATGTGAAGCAAAAAGAGTAAGGGACCGAGCACGCTCACTTGAAGGACCCCACTGGTGATTGAGCGTGGGGAAGAGCGATAATCACCTACAGTGACTACCTGATGACTAGTACAAATAGTGGTCACGTGAGCCCATGATATTTGTGCATTTCCCCAGAAAGGGTCACATGATCAGGTAGCAGATCTTACTTTCAGACCGGAGCGTTTCATCTTAGCTCGTCCGCACCTAACAAATAATAAGTGGGGAAATTGCTCATTAGTATTCCGGCATATTTTCGCTGATGAAACTGTCATATGTGCACTGAAGGTCAGGCCATAATCCACTCAGGTGGATGGACACTACACATTCATTCACGCATACCCATACACTAAGCTCATTGTTTCGCCAGTGAATGTATGTCGAGATGTCCTATAAGACGCTGATTACAGTGCTCTGTCCAGACATGTTTTCGTTCCCATAGGTTCGGAACCCTACAGAAAATACACTCTGTCGTTTAGTTGCCGTGACTTCACACAGACCGCAAGCCATTAGTATCACTGTTAGGACGGACCAAAGGCATACAAAAAACGTCTTCGCCAAGAATGCAGAGATGGGCTCTGACGTTGAGCGTATACAGTTGCAAAATTGCTTACAACCTTGGTATCAGCAGTCGCAAAGCGGATGTCCTGAGGCTTCTACTAATTGCGGGAACGTCACATGATCCCGATTCTCCCAGCGAATTGATTCACCTGATGCAACAGCTAGATACAGCACCTCTACGAAACCCCACAACCCGTCAGTGGGCAGATCAAGACCCAGTTCTTGCAACAATCAAACAATTCTTAACAGACGGATGGCTTGTTGAAGGAGCCACCGATATGCAGCCATAAATAGCACGCAGAAATGAGCTAAGCCTATTCGATGGTTGTTTTTGGGGTTCCCGGTTGGTTCCTCCAAACATGGTTCGTGCACAGATCATACATGAGCTCCATGACACACATCTAGGCGTCTTCAGAATGAAAGCATTAGCGAGGGGATACTACCGATGGCCATGGATAGATTCAGAGATCGAGAACATGCTGAAGAATTGTGATACTTGTCAAGCACACCAACGCAGTAAACTCACCGGCCCAGTACATCCTTGGCGCTGACCTGACAAGCCGTGGGAACGGATCCACGCCGACTACTTCGGCCCGATTCATTGAACCATGTTTCTTTTACTCATCGACGCACACTCCAAGTGGGTTCAGGTCTATCTAGTTACACAACTGAGGTCCGGAAACACCATTGTTAAAATGCGTTACTCGTTCGCCACATTCGGTATTCCGGAGACCTTATGGACGGATAACGGGCCCGCCTTTGTTAGCACAGAGTACAACCGATTCGCCACTAGCAACAGTTCAGCATAAAAATGGGTTGGCGGAGCGAGGACTGTTGAGACAGCGTTATAGTTCCACACCCACTGAGGGTACATCTCCTGCAGTGTTGATATTTGGTAGAAACCTCAGGACAAGGCTGAATCCACTATTTCCTAATCCACTGGTGGGGATAGAAGAGTGACAGAAGGGATCAATGCCTTCAAAGGAGTAGAAAAAGGATGTGACTTTTGGGGGAAATGACTCGGTTTATACTAAATTGTCACAAGAAACAGTGGCAACCTGCCACTATAATTCGATTCTCGGGAAGCCAAAACGACGTCCAAATGTCGGACGGCCGGCTTATTCATCAGCACTCGGACAACGTTCGTCCACGGTGTTTAGATACACCGAACGCGGCGCAGACCGATTTGTGTGCAAACAAAGAACCACGCGTTGAAAGCGAACCGTACGGACAGGCTAGCAAATCGCTGCTGAGGCGATCGACCCGCATTCCCAACCCAGTGGATCGATTTCAGCCAGGACTGTGACGACATCTATGGAGGTGAGGAATGTCATATTCATGCTGAAGGTCAGACCCTAATCCACTTAGTTGGATGGACACCACAAATTCATACACGCACGTAAACACACCAATCGCATCGTGTCGCCAGCGGAGGCATGTAGAGATGTCCTATCACATGGTGACCACACAGCGCTCTGTCCAACCTACTTTTCGTTCCCTAGGGTTCCAAGCGCTATATGGAGCATACGCTCTCTATCGTTTAGTTACCAGGGCTATTGGGTATCAGAAACCAATGCCCGAGCAGGTCGAAGTGGCTATGGAAAACCGGTACTAAGTTTTCGTATGCCATACCTCGGTCATGCTGTAAGAAAGACGGATAACCTTCAAATTTGTTTATGTGGAGAAAACGTGGTCGCGTATTCAAGTTGGAACCGAACTCAAAGTGGCACCATGTCGCAGTGTGGGGTATGTGCAGCGAATACACCATGGCACATGTAGAAGCGAGTAGAAGTTTGGATCAGTGGCGGATTTTTGAATCCGTCAGTGTGTCTTGCAGAACCACCAAAAGCAGACGCCTATTGAATATAGATACATTTTGGGTCGGCTTCAGATACCGGCCCCAGTGACCGGATTCAAGTCAAATTGAACCATGTCCAGATTATAAGCTCGACTTTTCACACAGAGAATACATGAAAATGATTCCTCTAACTGTTGATACAACCAAACACAAACCCAACACAGAAATACCCTATGTGCAGCAGTGCCATAATTCTTACCAAAGGAATCAATTGTCGTGCCAGGATCAAAAAACAAAAACTGACAAATACTACTGCTTCGACAACATACCACTTGCGACATGTACAATAATGAGGATTAAGAGATATTGAGAGCAGAATAACCTTACCTGTGAAGGTTTCGGATCAAAGAACCGGACAATCTCATCTTTCATGACGGGAACGTGGAACGTCTGAGGGTGCTCACATGAAAGTTGGCGAACTTTTGTTGCAAACCGCGAGAAATGGCGCCGCCATACACAAACAGAGCTCATTCTGAAAGCCGCAGCTTAAAACGAGTTGAAAAGCAGCAAAGCAATAGATGCATATGTGCCTAAAAACACAATAGAGAAAGTCGGTACCAAGCAATAGATGGATGTGAGAAACGAGCGAAGTTAGTGAGGTAAAACTAAAGCCACAAGTTCAGCAAAGGTGTCAGACACTGTAGCGTGGTATCCTTACTAACAGTTGTGAGGCACTACGATTGTTTGAGCACCTGCCTGATAACATCTATCGACGGTCGTATGGAAGTAACCAACTTTGGGAGATAAGTGCCGAGCTTGAATAGCTGAGAACAAGCGAGTCGTTCCACCCAAGACACAAGAATCGTGAACCGGCCGGCCGCGTGGTTGTTGTCGGCAAGATTCAAATCCGCTGTGCAATTTTGACTGTAATACCAAAAGAGGTGGATGTGATTGGTTACGCGCTACCGACAGACGTTGGATACACAACGAATGGTGGGTAAATTTGATAAAGAATATACGGAGGGGCGTTAGCAGAACGTAAACAAACATACTAAGGATAGAGATCCGGTTCAGTAGAAACTAAGTGCGGATCAGCTCCACCCTCGAGGGTCGATTCAGAAGACGAGCATATGAGAAGGTTGGGTACATTGTGAGCCTTTCCACGCAACTGTGCCAGCTAAGGTTATTTCCAGAGGAAGTCGCTTGGATGACGAAGTCTCATTGTCCACTCAATTGCATTCAAAGAAGACAGTGTAGGCAAGTACACTGGCCGGCCAATTTTGATACTACTCAAACGGTGGCCGAAACAGGAACAAAGAGTACACCAAGAACAGTAGTGTCCAAAGACCAATAGTTGTTGAGTATCATCGGCAGAAGTAAATTGCATTCGACGGGCTAGCTGCAGTCTGGTAACACAGCTGGCCAACTTAGTAACGAAATAACTGAGAGGTCCCAGAGGCACAGATCAATGGTCAATTAAGAGCCCAATGAAGTTCGTACGCCGCGCATGTAAGTGGCAGTTTAAGCCACTCAGAATGGGTTTTTGCGAAAAAATGATACGAAGTAAGGATGTGAGTCTGTCGGGTACGTAGTTGATTTTTGATTCGTGATCACGGGCGCTCACATGATTGCTTGACAGTGACCTTGTCTTACCTTTCTCCTTTCGTAGGTTTTTCCTTTCAGCATTTCTAGCACTGTAACGTAGGAAGCTTTCATAAAACGGTTAAATACGACGCCTGAGCGTTCCATTCCATCTATCGGCTAATGGCCATACTTAACATTCTGGCGACGAGTTTAAGCTACTGCGATGTTGCACTTTCCTACATTAATTTAGAGTATTGCTTCTGATAAACCAACACCGGCTACATGGAACCGCTGGAAGCGCACCTTTTTGGATTATTTGAAGCTACTACCCGTCTTGCAACCAAACACGGTACTCTCAGAGAGCCACAAAACTAAATTACTGAGACAATTACTGAGGGATGAAGGCCAAAGACATTTTGATGCCCTCCATGTCGGTGAGAAAGCGAGTCAACAGCGGGATAGAAGTCCTCAGCGGATTATGGGGTTCACAACTGAACACACACTGCGCGGTATTCTTTCTCGACCTTGCGTCAAAACCCTGAAGAAAGTGTCAGTGATTTCATTGATCGGATTCAGTAAGATCTGCCATTGTCGGCATAGTGAAATTCCAGCCATGAAATCCGAAGAAGCGATGACTTTACAATGTTTGATATCCGGTATCCGTAAGGCAGGCTCGTGAAAGGTTGTTTTCGGAAGATGAGACGACGATGAGCTGGGAGAAGGCCTGCAATATCGCTCGGCAACTGGAGAATGTCCATAAACAGTCAGCAGCTTTTTCCTCGCTGTCTCAAACAGACACAATCCAAGTAGTCGACCGAAAAGATATTAACCCGATGTGGAAGTCAGTATTTATCAGCCGAGGAATGTCGTCATAAACAGAGTATCTGCCGCCAATGTGGAAAATTAGGGCACTTGGCTCGAGTTTGCCGATCTAAAATTCGCACAGCCGTGACATCACGTTTTCGTAAGAAGCCCGTGAAGGTCGTCCCGTCTTCAGACGAAGAAGAACAGCTAAACACGATCTGGAACGAAACGTCGAGCATCTGCAACATTCACCCACCCTACGCTGTGCAATTGGAAATAGAAGCCAGTTGGTTGAAATGGAAGTTGATCCCGGTGCCTCAGTTACTATAATCAGTGCTGCATCAGTTAAAAGATTACTTGTGAATCGACTTTGCGGATGGAAACCGGGCAGCCGATACCAGTCCTGGGAAAAGCACTGTTCATGTAAATTACCATAGGGAGAAGCGAACCTTACAGGCACATGTTGTGGCGAATGATTGTCCAGGCTTACTCAGTCGCGACTGGATTAAATGACTTGCGGCTACGCTAGACAGTGAAGTTCATGCCCATTAACCAACGCTTGGAGGATGTGCCCAACAAATATTATGATATTTTTGATGATAAACTGGGAAAATTGAGCGGTTATCAGGCTAGTATCAAATTACGAGCGAGAACACAGCCCTGCTTTTTCAGGGCATGTACCCTACTTTGAGATCAAATGTGGAAGACGAGATAAAGAGATTGAAGTCAGCAGGAACAATCGAGCCAGTTCAATTCAGTGAGTGGGGAGCTCCGATATTTCCAGTCCTGAAGTCGGATGGTTCTGTACGTATTTGTGGTGACTATAAACTAACTTAATCGTTGTTTAATTCTGGATAAGTATCCCTTAACTCGGATAAAGGATCTGTATGTTGCGCTGGCAGGCGGACAAAAAGTTCACACAGAACCACCTCAGTCATTCTTACTTACATACTAAGTTGGACAAGACCTCTCGCTCATGCACTACGAAAAGTACATACATGGGTTTATTCCAGTACAAACGTCTGCCCTTCGGAATCAGTGCAGTCCCGGTGATATTCCAAAGGATCATTGACAATCTGATCAAAGATACTAATTGTATTTGCGCCTATTTTGATGGCATTCTAAATACAGGACGCACAGATGCCAAACATTTACAAACGCTATCCAATGTGCTCGAACGTCAACAACTGAATGGACACAGACTGAAGAGTACGTTTTTCTCAGATTCCGTTGGTTACATGGGTTACCGCCTCGATCAAAAAGGATTTCGCGTGTTAGAAAACCAAGTAAAGCCCATTCTTGTCGCACCCGAACCAAACAATGAAGCTGAACTCCGATCATTTTTAGGGATATTTCTTCACAATTGTCGCTTCTTACCTAACGCCTCAACAGTAGTTGCACCCTTGTACGAACTGTTATACAAGATAGTCCTAGACTTGGAGTCCGGATCGTAGGAAGACTTTCTCAGATGTAAAATTACTCAGCGCCTCCCCGTACCTCGTGCATTTCGATCCGAGCTGGCATCTAGTGCTGCGGTGTTATGCTTCCCCAAGCGGAGTAGGCTCAGTTCTTTGCCACTGGACGGATGACGGTTCTCTTCGTCCAATTGCTTTTGCTTCTCGCACCCTGCAACCCGCTGTAAGGAATTACTCCAAACTGGATAGAGAAGCCTTGGCGATTATGTTCGGAGTCAAGTATTTCCACCAGTGCGCCTGGGGTAGGCAGTTCGATATCCATGCTGACCATAAACCACTTCTTTCGCTTCTGCGTGAGGAGAAAGGCATCCAACAAATGTCTTCGCCTTGAATGCAAAGGTGGGCACTACCTTTGATCGCCTACAATTACAAACTTCAGTATGGAAACGGATCAAGTAATACCAGTGCCGATGCAGTTAGTCGCATCCCGCAGCGGTATGGCACAAAAAGCGAACGGTGAACCTATGGGGTTTCTCATGCTGATGCAGCACCTTGAAAATACACCCAATGTGTTGACCTTTAGTAGCGATCAGCTAGAAGTCGTAGAGAAATTCAAGTATTTTGGTAGCTATATCAGCGCCAATGGAATATATGATGAGATGACGATCCGAATAGGATAAGCTCGAGGCGCTTTGCAAAAGTTCGTCACCTGTAACGCCGGCGCCCTAAATGGCAGAATTGGTGATGAAGCCATGAGTCCAACCCTCCAGTACGCTTGCAAAACATGGCTCATCAGGCGACAGACTTAAATATCCTAGTTGCATCTGAGCATAGCTGCCTTCAACGATAAGCTCATATCTTGTGGAACACCGCGTGAGCAAGCAGCCTGTTCGGCGTCGTGTATTTAGTGCAGAAAAAGCAAGTGAACCGCTCAGCGCCATTATATAACGCACCAAGCTTCGATGGATGGGCCCCGTGTTGCGCATGCAAGCGCACCAACTCCCGCGTCGTGCGTCGTTTGCGCGCCCGAGGTCTGGAGAAGAGATAGCCAAGCCAAGACTTGATCGAGGTGAATGAAAACCGTCACTTCGAAGTTGACGTCGGTTGGTCTCTCTCGACTGCAGGGCTGCGGTTCCAAGTTTGGTTGGATGCACTAGATGACAGCGCGAGGAGCCGACTTTAATGGCATTAAGCCAGCATTTTTTTTCGTCAAAAACCTCATCTTGTTGTATTGTGGCGCAATAGTTGAAGTGCATTTATCACCTTCAGTTAATGTGCAATGGCCGAGTCGTCTGCGCGTCTAGTTTGCAACCATAAGGTCACCGTTTCGAATCCGAGTAGCGGTGGGCGTCCTCGCGGTATACTCAGCCCACGCGCGACTGGCGGTGATGGCGCGACAGCGAAGAGCCGTTACGGCGTACAGCTGATACAATATATGTTAATGTGCAATGATGAGATCGACCTAGAAGTTAAGAGGAAATATGGGACAACCGTGGAGAACCCCCTTGTCGTGGGGAACTCAGGAAACAGTTTCCCGTAAACCCTTACACAGCCTCGGTAGTTACGGTAGATTGCATAATGGAAAAGTGTTTAGCTGGCACGTTTCTCATGATAAAAGAAGCCACAAATTGGTGCGGTAAATAGAGTCGAAGGCGGTTTTCAAGTCAGAAAAATCACCATGGTCCATGGTCTCTAGCTGTGCCTCTGCCTAACACTTGACGTACAGTAAATAGGTAGTTTATAAAACCACGGCCAGGGAGAAAACTAGCACAGCTTCAAGTGATGCGG